CGGTGGCGGTTGGATTTATCTTTCTTTGCTGTACAATAAAGATTGACATTGTAGTTGCTGAACAGTAAAGGTTGTATTGTCCTAATTAATATCTCGATTTCTCGCCCGTTTCATCCCATTTCCTCTTTCTGCCCGTATTTTTGGCCACATACCCTCTGTAGTTTATTGAACTCCCTTTGTTTTGTATTTATTTCCTCGTCACCATTCGAAAACTCAGTTTATATATTTATATTATATTATCGTTGCCTTCGTATATGCAAACTGTATTATTATTTCTCCGTGATCGCGAGGGTGAAAACTGGTAGCGATCACCGAATGGTTAGAGGCATACTGAACCTAAACGTTAAGTTGGAGAGCTCTCGTCTAATGAAGTCAACGCTCCGTCCCCCTCGTGCTCTGTTCCAAAGTCCCGAAACCTTTCAGCTCGAGTTACAAAACCGTTTTCAGTGCCTGGAAGACTGCAATGAAGTGGACGATATGAATGACAAGCTCGTGGAAACTGTCCATGCGGTCGGAGCTAAGTTCTGCAAGACCCGCCGCAGAAGAACACAAAAACTCTCCGATCACACTCTTAATCTCATGGCTGTTAGACGGGAGATGAAGCTACATTCTTCAACAGACTTGACAGCATACAGGCATCTGAACAGACAGATCTCCAAATGCATGCGGCGGGACTTACGCAACTTCAATACAGCTCGTATTGAAGAAGCGATCGAGCGGAACCAAGGCTCCAAAGTCTTTGCCAGAGATCTGTCTGCCAGAAAGAGCCAACTGTCAAAGCTGAAGACAGAATGTGGCAGCATCGTTTCCGGGACACCTGAGATTTTGAGTGAGATTGAGAGGTTCTATGGGCAGTTGTACACATCATCGTTGGAGCCACACGCAAGTGTGAGTAACGATCCAAGAGCGAGTCTCATCCGACACTATTCCGAAGATATCCCGGATGTCAGTCTGAGCGAGATTAGGATGGCTCTCCAGCACCTTAAAAACGGTAAGGCCCCAGGCGAGGATGGAATTACAGCGGAGCTTCTGAAAGCGGGTGGAAGACCGGTACTTGAAGTCCTTCAGAAGCTCTTTAATTCTGTCCTCCATGGTAGCATTACACCGGAGGCGTGGAGCAGAAGTGCGGTGGTCTTGTTGTTCAAGAAAGGTGACAACGCTCTCTTGAAGAACTACAGACCGATTTCCCTTCTGAGCCGCGTCTACGTGCTGTTTTCGAGAGTCATTACGAATCGTCTCGCACGCAGACTTGACGACTTCCAGCCTCCCGAACAAGCCGGTTTCCGAAAGGGCTTTAGCACCATAGACCACATACATACCCTTCGGCAAGTTGTACAGAAGTCCGAAGAGTACAATTTGCCACTATGTCTGGCGTATGTGGACTATGAGAAAGCCTTTGATTCCGTCGAAATTTGGGCGGTGCTGCAGTCCCTTCAGCGGTGCCAAGTTGACTGTCGGTATATCGAAGTGTTGAAGTGCTTGTACAGTAGGGCTACGATGGCTATCCGAGTACAGAACCAGAATACGAAACCTATCCAATTGCAGAGAGGTGTAAGACAGGGTGACGTCATATCCCCGAAACTCTTCACCGCTGCATTGGAAGACGTTTTCAAGCTTCTGGACTGGAAAGGATACGGTATCAACATTAATAGCGAGTACATCACTCACCTTCGATTTGCCGACGATATAGTCCTTATGGCAGAATCGCTGGAGGACCTAAGCACTATGCTCAATGACCTCAATAGTGTTTCCCAACGGATAGGTCTTAAGATGAACATGGACAAAACAAAGATCATGTTTAACGTCCATGTCACATCTATGCCGGTAGTTGTTGGGAGCACTAAGCTCGAAGTTGTTGACGAGTATGTTTACCTGGGACAAATAGTCCGACTAGGTAAGTCCAACTTCGACCGAGAGGTCAATCGACGGATTCAACTCGGCTGGGCAGCGTTCGGGAAGCTACGACACATCTTCTCGTCAGACATACCTCAAAACCTTAAAACGAAATTGTACAACCAGTGCGTGTTGCCAGTGATGACTTACGGAACTGAGACGTGGTCCTTCACTGCTGGCCGTATGAGGAAGCTCAAGGTCGCTCAGCGAGCTATGGAGAGGGCTATGCTCGGAGTTTCTCTGCGTGATAAACTTAGGAATGAGGATATCCGCAGTAGAACCAGAGTGACCACATAGCCCAACGGATTAGTAAGCTGAAGTGGCAGTGGGCCGGCCATATAGCTCGAAGAACCGACAACCGATGGGGAAGAAAGGTTCTCGAGTGGCAGCCTCGTACCGGTAGGCGAAGTGTAGGGCGTCCCCCCACGAGATGGAGTGACGACCTGGTAAGACATGCAGGAAGTCGATGGATGCAGGTGGCTCAGGACCGTGCTTTGTGGCATTCTTTGGGGGAGGCCTATGTTCAGCAGTGGACTTGTGAAGGGCTGTAATGATGATGATGATGATGATGATTATTATTATTTCGCTCTAGTGTCCCTCCTCAGCGAGGAAGTAGTTATCTTTATTGAAGTTTTCCTCAAGTACAGTACGGCGGGCGAGTGAAGACGAAACAAATTCTTTTTGTGCATTTTTGCACATACGAATTTTTCTAAACGGTCAAAATACACATGGAATTTGTTATAATCGTTTCTAGTTCGAATGTCGCAAAAAGAACTTTATTAACACAAAGAGAACGAAACGGAGATTATGTTTAGCGCAAAAAACAAAAAAATAAAAACTGCAAATATGGAATTTAGCAGTCGCAGCGACAGTATATTGAACGTCCGCTTAGTGGCATAACTAGAACAGAATTACCTCTTTAGTGAACCTTCTAGCGTATGCCACGTACGTATGGAGCGCGGCACTCGAGAATAGTGTGGAAGCACTGGCTGTTTTCCTTGATGTCTCGAAGGCCTTTGACAGAGTTTGGCACGCTAGCCTTTTGGGTAAGCTTCCAGCTCACCGTTTGTTCCCTAGTCTGATTGAATGGGTAAATTACCTTCTGAGTGAATGCTCTCTCCGGTTAGTCGTCGGTGGTTGCTTATCCGATCCTGTGGCAACTTTTCACGTGGTAGAGCCATGCTGCAGCTATATTATTGCTATAGTTGCAGCATGAATGGGTCGGCTCGACCGGGGAAGGACCACGCTCTAACAGAATACCAGCTTAACGCTGCTGTGTTTCGTATGGTGAGTGTAGAAAACCGGAGACCCTTTTTACTGGAAACGAGGCACTCCATCTTAGTCCTCATGGGTGACAACGCATCTGCATTTTGATTCGTAATCGAGGATAGATGTAGATGTCTATGGGCCACAGCAACCACTTACCATCAGGTGGACTGTGTGCTCGTTTGTCACCCATATACTATATAAAAAAAAAACTAACGCCTGTGTTCGTCAGGGGTCCGTTCTCTCCGCAACTCTCTTCCTGCTGCATATTAATAATCTGCTTATGCCCGGTATTTATGGGTATGCAGACGATAGCACAGTTGTGGAGAGATACCAACCAAGTGACTGGTCCAGTCGGGATCAAATCCAGTCCTAAAGAGAAGCTATGGTTGAATCGTGTGAATCTCACACTACAGGTAGTCTCCGAATGGGGCGATGCTAAACTCGTGGGATTCAACGCCTACAAAACACAAGTGTGTTTTTCACCGCTATAGGCTGCGCATATGAGGAAGTGCATACAGAGGAAACACCTTCCTTAGGCAGTTAACTGCTGACTGTGGTTAATAAGAACAGTACAAACATTTTAATCCGTACTATAATCTATGACATACCACCAGTACTATAGTACCTGATTTTATATTAGGTACAATTAAACAGTCATAAGTTGGAAGGATGATTATCTGCAAGGCTATTAAAATTAAAAATAATTCCTTTATATAATAAGTAAAAATCCTGTCCCATACAAAGAGAGTGCTTTTAGGTATCGTAATTTGATTCTGTTCATAAAATCCTTTTTATAGAATGAAAAGGAATTATATCGGATGATAATATCGGAAAAGTTTGAAAGATACCTTAGCCAATAAAAGTTTAATACACATAAATTATTTGGGAATGTCATTGTGGTAACTATTCGCCCCTTTTAGATCAGACAGGGTATGCACGCACGCACGCACACACGCACACACGCACGCACGCACGCACGCACGCACGCACGCACGCACGCACGCACGCACGCACTGGCAATTGCAGTATTAGACATCTTGATACTGATTTCTTTAAGAAAATATCCGGATTGCAAGAAATTTGAAGATAGGTTTTTTAACTATCCTGTCGTGTCGCATTGTCCCAGACTAACAAGTCAGGCCACTAAAAAAGGCAACTGCAGCTTGGACTGATTATACCTATAAAAATTAACAAATCATAGTGCTGTATTCCCTTATTTCTTACTCCTAAACATGACAATTTTTTTTTCAAGAACAAGAAGGGTGGGTTGTAGCTATATGTTTTTGGTATGATAGATATAGATTGTATCATATTTGAAACTACTTAATTTGTACAAAAATATTTGTTCTATTGTCATTATCCAGGGAGAAAACACAGGAATATGTTTGTAGACTAAATGCCACCCTGATAATCTCTTAAGTTGCCTCTTACAATACCTATACACTAGATGAGATGATTGAGGAGATTTTAGAAATGAATTATTTTCGTTTTTGTAGCTCAAGTGGGTTTGACCTCATAATATGATCTCACAATGTCCAAAAAGTCCAAACAACTCAGTACTGTCATGACTGCATAATGTATTGATACTGCATACATAAATTCTTAAAAAATAGTTTTCCAAAACCATTGCTATAATATACTTATTCTCTAACTTTAATATGGGTTGTATGTCTAAGTTATTAACTTTCATACCAGGATAATCAAATCATTATTGTCACAAGCAGGTGTCTTTGATTTCGCATGACTGAACTATCTCATTAACCTTTGTTTGATCCAATAAAACATAATTATCATATCGATCAATATTTATTAAATGTTTTTTGTTTTACATTTTTAAGGTATTCCATGTCTTCTCTACGGTATCGCAGCTACAATATTAATAAAGCATTCAGAGGTCGTTAGCACTAGAAAGGGGCCTGTAACTATATATTTTTTATTACCTGAACATAAAGGATCACTGTATTAAAACGTTTAATATTAAGAAAAGCAATTATATTGTAGTATTAAGAACAAATAAATAAATTAAAAGACCGATGTTTTAATCCTTTTCAACTCTTTGTGACCCATTGCTTCATTAATTTTTGTGACGTTGTAGTAAGTGATGTAAGAATATCCACTCTAGCCCATAATGTCCCGTGGGTGTCATAAGAGGCGAAGGAGGCAAATAAATCAGATGGGCAGCAGCATCTTCCCTATAACAACTAGGAAAAAAAAAAACAGGTTGCCTACCTGCCTACTAAGCGTGGCAACTTTGGAAATTATCCTCCAATGAGGCAGAGGCAATCTATGTTTAACTGTGATCTTTTGATGGATCGTAACAGTAATATGAATATGAGTTTCAAAAGTGTTAGTAAAATATCTTATTGTGATTCAAGCCTAATGTCAAATATAAAGACTTAATATTAATATTATTTAATTTCATTTATCTAGGTATGCATAAACATTTTGAAAAGGATTGGTGTTATGGCGAAACTGGTCGGTCTTTAGTGCACATGTGTCAATCCAAATCTCAAAAGAAGATGAAGTTTCACCATGTAACACCAATCGCAAATATAAATCTCTTGTGTACCTGTTACCCTAAGGCTTCAGTGGAGCGCGTTCGGCGGGGCGCGAGGCTTAACTGCGCGTTAGGTATGCAGTTTTAGCGAATGCCCAGGGCACTATAATAGAAGAACGTTTGTATATCATGCACGCTGAACGCTCTGCCCCGCTGAACGCCGTTTACTAAAACTTAAAGCCTTAGCGGAATGCGTTTTGTGAAACATGTAGCTCTGTGGCGTGATTTCCATACAACGACAACAGTGTATGTTTGTTATGATACCACACTGAACGCTCCACTAAACACGAGGCCTAACCCTTATCTACCTACTCTCTAGTGTCGAAGAAACAAAATATCTGGTACTGAGATCACGAAGATGCCTATCAAGCATAACAATTATGACAATAATGATTTGTACTGTTTTAGAAGTGTGCTATCGAAATTTGTCAATTATGCCGAACATGTTGAGAGGAGGATATCCAGTCTAACTCTGGAGCCAGAGATACGGGCGTACTCAAAACTCCAATTAATATACATTCAGACCCGTAAACCAAACTCTTTGTTAGTATAGTCGATATTTTAATTAACAGCTACCGCATAGACACTGCCTTCGATAAATTGTGGTATACAATTTCCTACATGCCAGATGTAAGTAAATAGCCAGACCGGTGACAGTGAGCAGTGTTAGTGTTTACGATACTAGGTATCTGGTACTATCATATTTTGCTCACCTTCTGTACCCTGGAAACAGACTAGGTATGATGATGTCTTAACTTTTCAGGTTATTCCAGAGGTGCTGTTAACAAACGATAAAGTTATGAAACTAAATCATGTGCCAATAGGGTAGGCTCATGCACAACATAGGAATGTTACGGGCTAATAAAGAAAACGACGGTTAATTGTTCGTAGTTTTAATAAAACCATACATTAAGTAGTTAGGTTTCGATCTATAATTAAATACAGTTAGGATTGTAAATTATAGAATACTACAAGAATAATTGGTATGTAAGAAAAAAAATGTGTTAAATATTGCGTTTCGCTAATCTCTAAATCATTGGTTGTCTCGTACCTGTGAGTATAGGTACATATTAGAATGAAAAGCGTGATATTCCATATTTAATACTGCCGTAGGATATTGAAGTACGAATAAGATGTGCTAATAATCTGTAACCAAAACAAACAAGGAATCATGTAGTGAAATATTGTCTTTAAAGTGCCGTGTTATGGTGGTGTAAGAGAAGGCATCACTCCAATTCCTTCCATAGGTTTCGAGAGGCAACTCATCTTATTTCTGAGATGTTTATGCTACTATAATGCCTTTGGCTTTTAAAGCTTCGTCTGACTCAGGGTTGCGGTTTGCAAGGCGCGAGCAATATCAAAGGGAATGGTGATGTTGATGGTGATGATTTGGTTCGTGACCCGTCGTCAGATAACATGGGTGTTTGCAAGTTATCTAACCACCGTCCGAATAGCAAACTGGCAACTGGAAGCAACGTCAATATTGCAATTTTTAGTATGATGATGAAGAAGATTGTCTTATTCGTAATTCTTTGTTTCACCCCACAGAAAAAAGTCTAACGGTGAAAGTTCCGGCGACTTTGCAAAGAGACAGAGTGCGCAATCCACCTATCTTCATATTCACTATTTAAGTTATCGCTCACTGCACTTGCATAGTTTGAATAGCCGAAAATTGTTATTTGATTGGTAGGTACAGGTACGTTAATTTCTTGTCGCGATAAAGACTTACTTTCGTTTAATCTTTGCGCACCACGTAAACTTTCATTGCTTAAAATGTAATATCACACCATTTCATAGTTTCATGGTATCCGTGGTTCTAATATTTTCGTTCCTGTATGCTTTACGGAGTGTAGTATATTGTGTTCAAAACTAGAGTTAAAAAATATCGTGGTAGTCTCGTAATTTCTCGTAACAAGTTTAGTTTAAATTTATATGGTATTTTAAGTCCTTATATTAAGTTCCGATAGGCTAGTTACGAAAAAGTTCTGATGGTTATACGTCTAATAAATTATATTATTTATTTAATCTTTACTATATTATGGGATATAAGAGGCAGAGGCGGACTAAATGCATTATGGCATTCTCTCATAGTCAGCCCTAGATGATGATTTGCTTAGATTTAGCAGCGATAAGCGAAGACCTGTGAGAACTTATTTTATATTCTTATTTTTGATTCCATACTATTTTTTAGTTTTTCTGTATTTTATCTGTGTAACATTTTACCGAAGAAAACGTCTCCAGTTCCAATTTGGGTAGTCCAATAAATTTAATGCTGACTGGCTGCTGAGTTCGAAGGATCAATATTATGATGTCCGAACGCAGAAGCTGCCCTAAAGGTGTGTCGTGCCAACCACTACGCCAACACGCTTCCCCGATTTCAAATGCCTGGGAAAATAAAAGATTTTATGTGTCAGAATGAAAACCATGTGTCCATTATAGTGTTTAGTTCCACAAAGAAGTTCTTAATTGGAACTGCCCAATATCGGTAAGTTAGTCGGTAGTTTTGCTAAATCCTAGCCTCTCTCTTTGTTATAAGAACGTGTTTTAATCACCATGTTTTACATTTTACTCACAATTACAATCCGCTTTTGTAAAAAGAATCAGCAAAGAACGCTTGCATTGAAAACATCTAACACACTCTGGAAGGACTATCAGCTTCAGTAAATTGGCTATTCCTTAAGCGATCTATAAAATGATACAAACTCATAGTTACCGATTAAGCTGCCAGAAGAGAAGTATTAAAATATACTTAGATAAACATACCTCGTAAGCTATTAATAGATACTAAAATTATCGACTATTTTTAGATTAAAGACATATTGAAATCAAATTCTTTCTTATGTAATATTGCGATTACATTCAGTTATAAAAATGAGAAATGAAACTATTACTATTTAACACTAATTAGATAAAAAGATTACAAACAGACACTTCAATTTTATTTATTTCTTACATGCTGGGACCCATAGACATCTGTCTATGGGTCCCAGCAACCACTTACTATCAGGTGGACTGTGCGCTCGTTTTTCACCTTATACTTTAAAAAAGGTTAACTGTGTAGTCATATAAAATAGATAAAATATGTAACAAAATAATACCAATTGGTATCAATTACGGTTAAGTTACTAAACTACTTTTAGCTTGTAATCAACAAATGAAGTGGAACAATTTCAGTAGGTAAGGCCACTGTTTTTGTAGTTCAGATTTCAGAGGCAGTTTAGCAGATTTTGTTCGTTAGTGTACTCTAAAGAACACCAAGTTTTACCCATCTCGGAGTTCTTATATAAAAATGATTAAATAGCAGGTATATTTTATGAAAAACGACCGCAATATCGCATCGTGTCGCCAGCTTTGTCAACAAAGTTTATAAAATCGCGGCGACACGACGTTAAGATAACTGCAAAAACTTTTACCTAAGATTACCTAAGTTAAGTAAAACAAAGCTCTTTTCTTCCATAACAGAAAGGCATGGAACGCAATAAATTAAGAAAAAATAGGGTTAGAAGTTCTTAAAAACATTAATCGGGTATGGATAGAATACCCATACATTTTTCTTTAGCTAGTTATTCCTAAATAATTAAAATAATTACTTTTACAATTTAATGAAACATTTACCAGTTATTACAATTAATAAAGAATGCATATTAATCACTACTTTCCTTACCTGATTCCTCAGCAATGTTCCCAAATAGCATGGTATCCAAAGCTGTATACACGCGGTAAAGAACAGCAATACGAAGAGAAAATGAATCTTCCCATGATCCAAATACTGTGAACAAACAAGATAAAAACTCTCTTTGGCGTGTAATGTCAGCGTAACAACCCCTATATATGCCCCCCCGCATGCCAAGAGTGGCTATAGTTGCCACTCTTGGCATGCGGGGTGGTGTGCACATTATTGATTATTATAATGAGTTACTATGATGAAGACGATGCTGCTCAAATCATGTTTCTGTTTCCATTTATCGCCTCTTAGGACTACCGCGCGATGATATGAGATAGTAGATACTCTTAAGCCGCCATATTTTACACTAGCTGTGCCCGCGGCGTAGCTAGGTCTAGGTTTTAGGTTAGCGTATATAGGTTTTACATAAAGAATTTGTCGTTTAGGTAAGAGAATATTAAACGATTTATATCATTACTGTATCAATAAGTGGTAACAAAACAAATCATTATCATCAAAGTTCTAAGTCGTCTATGATAAAGCTTCTGTGTAAACGACGTTAGAAGTAGGCTTAGCCGGGGTGTACACAAAAAGGTTACGGGGGCTACTAACGCGGGAAAAACAACATAGAGATGGTGATGTGCAAAACAGTCAGTACTGAGGTGCACTCCTACAACGCGTAAAGTTTGACCTTGCGCTTTATTTACGGTCATCGCATAACACACTATGACTGTAACTGGGAACT